ACAGGAAGGGAGAGGGATAGAGAGTTAGAAACATCAATGAGAGAGAAACATCGATCAGCTGCCTCTTGCACACTCTCTACTGGGGATGTGCCCGCAACCAAGGTACATGTCCTTGACCGGAATCGAACCTTGGGACCCTTCAGTCCATAGGCAGACACTCTATCCACTGTAGGTCTGGAGTCAAGAATGTGCATTACAATTTTTTTTTAAATCCTCACCCAAGGCTATCTTTCCACTAATTTAGAGAGAAGGGTATTTTTCCATTGGTATTTAGAGAGAGGAAAAGACAGAGAAAAATGTTGATGTGAGAGAAACACATCGATTGGCTGCCTTCTGCACGTGCCTTGACCGGAATTGAACCCAGGACCCTTCAGTCCGCAGGCCGACATTCTATCCACTGAGCCAAACGAGTTAGGGTAAAACACAAGAAACTTTTAAAGTCACCATAAGGGGTCTAAGAAAGGTAGCAAGGCCATGTCCTCTGCATTCAGAGGGAGAAATGCTATCCCCCAACTTAAAACAAAGTAAAAGAAGTTGATTTGGTCAAGGTTAACATTAAAACAGAACTTTCTCAAGAATATTAATCTTGTTTTATGGGCGATAAGGTGTGTTGACATTGAGATGTACTCTGTTCCTTGGAACAGAAGCCTGTCTCAGAGAGTGTGCTTTGAACAAAGAGGGCTTGTTAGCATTCCAAGACTTCAGACAGCAGCGTTGTGTTAGCCTGTGAAAACAAATTCAAGAAACCTGTACTTCTGCTTTATCTAAGCACCCGTTGCCCTGGTAATAATGCCCTGGTAATAACTGATATTCCCTTTGTTTCTAAGCTGTATAAACACTCATAAAATTCCCTGTGGAGGGGGATCATCGGTGCTTTCATCTCTTCTTGTATGTTTGGGCAATAAAGTGACTCTGCAGATTTCTTATTTAAACGAAGAGAAAAAGTCTTGTCTCAGTAATTATTGCACTGCTACCTTGTATGATGTATGTATCTGTTTTGTTTGTGGCCCTCTCTCAAATACCAGCTCCACAGGGGGAGGGATTTTTATTATTTAATCTTCACCTGAAGATATTTTTCCATTGATTTTTTAGAGAGAGTGGAAGAGAGAGGGAAAGACAGAAATACTGACATGAGAGACACACATCGATTGGTTACCTCTTGTATGGTAGGAGGAGCCTGCAATTGAGGTACATGCCCTTGACCAGAATCGAACCCGGAACCCTTCAGTCTGCAAGCCAATTGCTCTATCTACTGAGCCAAATCGGCTAATTATTGATTTTCCACAGAGAGAAAGGGAGAGAGATACAGAGCCAGAAACATCGATGAGAGAGAAACATCGATCAGCCGCCTCCTGCACATCTCCCACCAGGGATGTGCCCGCAATCCAGGTACATGCCCCCAACCGGAATCGAACCTGGGACCCCTCAGTCCGCAGGCCGACGCTCTATCCACTGAGCCAAACCGGTTTCGGCAAGGGTAGGGATTTTTGTCTCGCATGCTAACTGCTGTGTCTGCAGGGCTTAATAAAATTTTTTTGCTGAATGCAGAAATAAATGAAATAAACAAAACTTTAGAGATTCTGTGAAGTGCTAAGAGGAAGAGTCTGGGTTAGAGAGAAAAATGTGTGCATTAAGGGGGTTGGGGAATAAGCAGCGTCCCCAGGGCCTGGATTGGACCAGAGTTCCTGAGAAGAAGGAAGGGAACCCAGGCCAAGCCCCAGGGGGAAGTCCAGCATTTCAAGTTTTGGAGAACTGAGGGGAAATGGAGCATGGGGCTGAGGAGGAGGGGCCTGCGGAGAATGAGGACAAGCAAGAGAGGACTTTCCCATAGGCCTGGCTCGTTTGGTCTGTGTTCTCAGGCGGTCGCATTCAGTCTGTCATTTTCCCTTACTATTTTTAGACATAGTCACACACGGTCCTGGATTTATGGCCTCTCCTGTAGTCTCTTGCAAACAGGCTCACATACATACTGGATCACATGGCCTCTCAGACAGTCTCTCAGTCACTCACTCAAGGAGTAAGTTTCTGTCACCGATTCCCAGTTTTATGACTGTCTCCTACTAACAATTCATACACACGATCATGTCTTTTTGTTGCTGTTAATCCTCACCAGAGAATATATTCTCCATTGACGTTTTAAAATATATTTTTATTGATTTCAGAGAGGAAGGGAGAGAGAGATAGAAACATCAATGATG